TCCACAAGGGGTGTGGAATCTCCCGACGCTCAGGACATGCAGTTGCGAGCGGTAAGTTTTTTTTCTTTCTGCATTGAGCCCTGCTTTGGGCAAGCAGGGCTAAATGTAGAGCGGGGAAGTCACTTGCTTGTGTACAAGTGATCTCAGCGAGGTCACCAAGATCACTTGCATGCACCCTGCAGGTCCGTCCCGTGACCCCCCCCCAACCACCACCCCTCTCCTGCCAGAGATCCTCAAGATGGAGAATGGGGAGCAGAGCGGAGACTGTCCGCTCTCTGCTCTATGTAAACACTAAGACGGAAGAGCTGCACTCGCAGCCTTTCCCTCTCAGCTGTCATACGAGTTCCAGCACAGTGCTGTGCTATAACTCCTGTATTGGAGGTGACAGGTTTAATAAAGAGAACTTGTCACCTCCAAATGCTAATCACACAGGAGCGAAGTAAAAAATACATTTAAAAATAAATTTTAAGTAAAAAAATATAAGAAATTACTAAATTTTAAAAAAAAGGTGATTAAAAAAAGTTGTGTCTGGAAGGTGACAAAGCCTGCCTATCCATTTTACCAAACCATCATCTACCCCATTACTCTCTATACCTTTCCCAGTTCAATAACTCTATAACTGCTCTTTACATACTAGTGATGTGCAAAGGCTTGCTGCAAATCCATTTCACCCAAGCCCACATAAAACTGGCCAGGGATGGGTGTGTCTCAGTCACAATCATTTGGGGCAGGGCGCTTTCACCGACTCTGTGATGTGTAGCTGCTGGATGGGTGGTGCGTCAGTGACAATTTTGTGTGGGCTTGAGCAAACTCGGGTGAACTGGGTTTGTACCAAACCCCCGCACATCTCTAATAACTACCGCCTTAATTTAATCACCATTAAACTCACAACATCTCTGCCTCTTCACCAAAGGACTCAAAACTATATCCAAAACCTGCATTTATCACAACTGACCCCCATTAATCTTTACCCCCTCCCTTTATTCACCACCCTACTGCCTCTACTCTACAATTTCATTGGAGTATATACTCTTCGTACAGCACACACAATTACCCAGTATGCATTTGGCCTTCTCTTATCTGACTATAGATAAATTACAGGAGTGCTAATGTGTTGAAAGGGTTCTGGAGATAATTATGGGTATAATGATGCCATAACCCCTCCTATTTTCAATATCTCTAAGAATACTCTACACAGTTTCCATTGTACTCCCAGCTGCCATTTCCCTGTGCCTACCCCATCCAACACCCTATCCCATAAATCCTGCTCAGGTAACAAACAGCCTTCTTTTTCAAATCCTTACAAACAAGCCCCCTTAACCACCACATGCACAAAATGATCTGAGCATTTTTGTTTCAAAGTATTGTCATTAATAAGGGCAATAACAATTTTTATTTTAATTCATGTTTTCGTCGCAGTTTTTACCATTATTTTACCAATAAATAATTGTGTACTGGGTGGCCCCCTGGCTCTGGATTCACAGATAATTATACGTTTACTACAGTGGGAGCACAGCAGAAGCTCATGTTTAGGTTTTCTAATTTGTATTGAGATTGTAGTCCATGATGGGAGTGAGCTTGGAGCAGTGACTACTTTACAACACACACGGGGACCATGGGCAACAAAAGTAGCCACCCTCCAGAAGGAAGGACAGTGTCAGCACCAATTCAGAGATGATCTGAGGATCTACAGCCGAGTGATACACAAATATGTGTAAACAAACTTTTCTATTGCATTCAAGTATAACCAAACAAATAACACATTTTGGAAAGGTCATTACGGCCCCTCGTCTGAATTTGCAGTATGAATATATACCAGCAGTGAACTTTTATATTATGTAATAAGTTTCTCTACCACTTTATCCCTCCATTTATGCCCCATTTCTGAATAGTAATTTTCTGTCAAGTTTTAAGATCTAAAGACATTTCAAAGTCTTTTTTAAGCCAATATGATCCTTCCTTATATCAGAATTAAAAATTCATACCGGTATTTATTACTTCTCTCCAATAACTAATTTATAAACTGTAAAATATTTCCAGAGTCACACTGACCTTAAGCAGGACTGAGAGCTGTTAAATGGGAATTCCTTGAGTGAGGCAAACCTATCCTTAAAGTGAAACACCAT